ATATTTTCAGAATTAAATTTGTGTTTAAAGGACAGATAAATTTCAAAAAATGTAAATATAAATTTTTTGTAATTTATGTAAATATAAATAAATACATTTTTATTTTTATTACACGGTGTTCAAAAAAATGAAAAAAAAATTGCACGAACTCTTTCATTGGCCAGGTCGAAGGGTTGTTCACGAAACTTATTTCAAAATTTATCACGCCCCCAAACTCTCAACTTGTTCTTAAAAACCCATTTTCGCAGGACTTCCGGCTTTAAAAAAATTTTTAATCGGTTATATTTTAACCAATTTTAATTTTCTTATATGGCTTTAGAAAGAAGAATATTTTTACTATTTCAAGAAATAATTAGTTTGTGGTCCCTTGTAAATGAGTGGACAATTTTTTGGGAAACTAACTGAAACTAACACCATTTCTTTACATTTTCCCACTTCTACAACATTTTCTGCCAAGATTTCAAAAAAAAGATAGTCTCTTGCAGTCATTACTTCGAAAATAAAGTTTGATTCCGCGTGAAACTAGGTATCATTCATTAAAAGCAATAAAAAATTATGAAGTTATGACATTTTTTATAAAGAGAACAATTCAAATTTTTTTACACGAACTGTTGAAACCTCAAAGCGAATCCAATCTAACTAATTAAATTTTCTGTGAAATTACATCGAAGTAATTTAAAAAAAAAAACAACTTTGGAAAATTCGTTACTTCCAAAATTGATCTTTCCCTGATTTCGTGTACTTAGAGCGTGCCATTTTGTGCAGATTGTACTTCAGCCTGCAGGGTCCTCTCAGGTACCCGGTGAGAGTTCTTGAATCCTCTCTGCTAAGGTTTAGCCATCGCTCAGAGATTCCACTAGAGGGAGTTATGAATCCTCTAGGTGTTTCAACTTGCGAGTCCTCCCATCGCCTTAGAAACTCTGCCGTGTATCCTCTGGACTAACCACAGAAGGGCTGAGGCATTTCGCTACAGTGCCAGCCCTTTCTTTGCCATCGAAACCCACATGGTCCAGAATCTAACACAGGGTTACTCTGTCGTTGGCTCTTCATTTTTTAGTACCATTTTTCCACTGTCTACTAGCTTTGATATCGTTTTGCAAGAGTGGAGTGCTCTTACCGCTGCCTCGCAATACGACATGAGGTTTATTGTTGCCCTTTTAGTCCTTCTGCGAAGACTTTCGTGGGCACAGAGTTTAATTTATAAAATTTCCGTCTGGAAGGAGGTTGGGTATATGCCCTACGGAACGATTCTTTTTAATTTAGGTCCATAAACGCCGGCTCAGGGTTCCCATCTTCAAATTTGGATTATTCAGTGTACCAAACTTCTTTTACAGGTATCCCTTTCAGGTATTATTACTCTTTAGGGCTTTATAAGAGTCAACTTCGGTAGCATTGAATCTGTGAATTTGACTACGGGATCATTTTCTAATAATTTTAAGACAACCAAATGGACCTTTAAGTTAGATAGTCTCTTGGCGCACCAACGGATGATTCACGAGTAGATATTAGGCCTTTTGCGAGAACTCAAGCTCTGTCCCACCCGATTTGTTTTTGGTCAAGTTTGCCTTTCTTATTTTGATAGATGGAACGATAATGGACTTCATTGGTTAATTGACCGGCCATTTTCAGCACAGCATCCAACAGTTAAGTTTAGAGCAGACAGCATCCTGGAGTATAAGGTATCCTCATTTCAGTATACCGGCTATATAACAAAGTCAACAGCATATTCATATGCATTAAAGCCATTCCCTTTTAATGTTTCCGAAAGTTCGTCTACAAGAGGGAAGACAAGAAGCTTGGGACCACCATCATTCAATAGAAGAGCAATAAACCGTCAAAGCAGTGAATACTCCGGCTAACCTGCGCCCAAGAAGGCCAAGGTGGTTCGGTCCGCCAACAAGGTCATGTCGATAATTCAAAACGATTACTTTGAAGGTAATAAGACGATCAGCGGCTAATATTATTCTCAGCTGCTAGACAGATTCCGACATTGGACGAGCGGATATGACGAAGAAGAAAGTAATGGCTCTGGGGTAAGAGATTTAGGTCGAATGCAGACTTTATCACTGAAGAAAAAGCCCTTTTTTGTGGATCTTGAGAAAACCTGCAATTTGGAAGGGATAAAAACATTTTTTGGACGGTCGTCCCATCTCAGGTGGTACCTTCCGTTCGGTGCTTCAGAAGTAGTTGGCGGCCATTCGTGGAGCTCAGCTGTTAACGGTCTATGGTCTGAAGCTTCCTGGTACTCAGAGCAATTATATTCCAAACTTTATCCGCTCTGCTGTCCTAGGGCTAACCGAATTCGGCGCAATGGTGCAAGAAGTCAACTTAAGCCTCACTTCGAGCTTCGTTCAAATCAACTCCTGAGAGAGAGAGGAGAGCTTTAAAGCAAAAATGGTTTTTTTATACTTACTCTCTCAGGAGTTGATTTGAACGAAGCTCGAAGTGAGGCCATACAAATTTCCAAAATCCGTTAAAGCCATGATGGGAAGTTGAAACGGGGGCGCTCCAAGGGGCAATCCTTTTGTGAAGTTATTACAAAGAAGACTGAAACATAAGGAGCACATGAAAGCCAAAGCAAAGCCGGAGCTCGAGAGATGTGCTGGGACATATACATATATCTTTCAAACCGAGTGGCTTCTCGTTGCACCTAAACCGCCACTAATTGAGGAAAGTAGTTTCCCTCGAACTCACGTCAGCCGGGCTTACTTTTCTCAAAGCATCCAGTTCACGAATGAGAAAGGAAGAGGTCCCGATGAGCCAAAAACGCCTGCCCGTAAAAACGCGCCGGTTCGGAAATATTGAGCATCATAAGGATGAAACAGGCTCACCAACAACATGCCATCGTCCCACGGTCTTCCAGGCTGAACCATTAGCAATCTTTACCTGCACCACATAAAAGCTTGAAATTTAAAGGGCGCCTTTCCAGTTATCTTTTCAAAAGGGAAGCAGCCATTCGGGCCAGAGGGATAAAACTCAAACTTGTTAAAGACTATTTTGAAAGGCCAATTGGTCGCCGACGAATTGGCACGAGAAAGATTCTTTACTTCATTTATAGGACCGCAACCATTTTGTGGTCTCAGTTGGTTCTCTTCGAACATACTCTCATTCGGGTATACGCTGAACGCAGTAAGTGCGGCGGACATAGACAGGCTCTTTGGCTACCCTTTCAATTGCAAAGGTATTCTAGAAATAGAAACGGCATCAAGCTACTCTCCGTGCACATAACTAGGCTTAACCGAGTATGTTATTGGATAGTCATTGGCATGCCATGTCTGATTCTTCTATGATAGGGCGTATAAAAACTTTGACCGCTTTGAGCGAACTCTAAATATTTTTTTTTATTTCAATTTATAATTTATAATTTTTTTTTTTTTTTATATTTATATTTTTTCGCATAGAACAATCCCCCTTGATACCCATATTAAAGTATTATATCTAATTGGTTATTTAAATTTGTTTTAACTTTTAACAAGTGACAACCCTCTAAAAAAATTATTTTTGAAATAAATAATTTTTGAACACCTTTTGTTACCAACAACCACGTTATTGAGATATTTTATTTAGCTTCACATTTAATTGATTTAAAGTTCTTAGCAGGTGGCAACCCCCTTAAAAGATATGTTCGAAATAAATAGTTTTGGAATCTATTTCGTTTGATACCATCATTTTATTTAACTTATCAACTTTTTGAAAAAGTGGCAATGTCTCTTATTTTGCTACACCCGAGCATTTGACTAACTATCTAACTAACAAAATATATGTACCAAATAAGGGCTCCCAATCGAATCGAATATAATTTTGGCACAATATTGCTATAACATCTGATTCTATGAAAAGGTGTATAAAAATATGCTTACACAAGAGGCCGTAGCACCGCCCATATGCGTGAAATTTTGAATTATCTTTGACTTTGGCACCATAATTCCCATTACATTGATATTTGGTGTGGAGACATTACTAAAGTAGTAGAGAACCATAACAACAACAACCGCAACAAACCACATCATATTGAAATTTCGTGTAGAGGAATTAATCTAGCTTATGTAGATGAACACAAGAAGAAGATGAAAATGGTAGAGTATATGTATTATTGCTTTCAGATTTTTAATTTCTTCACCCCCGAACGAAGTCGGCTATGCTGCTCACATCAAAGAAGAGTTAAAAGCAGCCACTATGTGAATAATCAAGTGTGTATGTACATTAGACTGTATCACCAAAATAAGTGGCGCCGGAATTAAAAATTTATTATATTTTAAGACGTCCACCAAAATATTTCGGAAAACTATTGAGATTTACGTGAGCTGGATCGATTTGAAGATACCTCCAAAAATGGAGTTTTTTATGAATAAAAATAGTTTCTCTAGGAACTTTTTGAATAAAGTCAACTCAGATGACAAAACAGATTAAGCTTAAAAAATCTGCATGAAAATATTTAAAAATCGTTCAAAGGAATCTTAATAATGAGATTTTTGATGTTGTTCTTTTTTACTTTTTTCAAAGATTGATTTACGAAAAACTTCAATAACNCAAAGGAATCTTAATAATGAGATTTTTGATGCTGTTCTTTTTTACTTTTTTCAAAGATTGATTTACGAAAAACTTCAATAACTGGGCCAAAACTATTCTGAT